ACAGACTGTAGACTTTGACCAACAGCTACCTTTACTCCATTCTCAAGATCAGATGGTTATCCAAGAAGGGTTAGCAACAAGAGACTCTGGAAACCAACCAACCAACCAATCAAGAACCTATTGCCCAGTTAATATTTAGAAAGGAGGAGACGGTTGAGTGATGTCGCACTCCAGGCCAACCTTCTAGGGGAACCCGAACGGTAAACGACAAGTTGGGCATGATTTATATGGTGACGTGGAGGAGGTCATTTGAGGAGACAAGATTTTACGACCAGTCGAAGAGGATTATGGAGGACAAAGGGAAATGACAACGTGCTGTTAATACCCTATGTTCCGTTTGGAACCAAAGGTACTGATGTTAATAATAACTTGTGTGAATCATTTAATCGACGATTTGATTGATAACGTTTTCCGTGTATATTAATCAGTAATGGTCTACATGTTCACTTTTGATAGGTGATGCAAGTTTGAACCATTTACTTTCTGTTTGAGACATATTTCCAGATAAGTCACCAACAACTATCTCTAACCGATATCAGTTCATGATGAAATCCTGTCACCAATCAAATCACTGCAAACCAACACTTGAATATTAATCTGGTGCTTACTAGTGACTGACCATATTCAGGTGGGTAGTTACCTGGGTTCTATTGGGAATTCATGACCAGTGGGGGTACAGAAGGTCGGGTGTGAGGACAAATACTCTCCGACGACATTCGCTTGTGGTCGCGCCATATCATGAATCGGCAGCAGTTAGAATTCATGGACTGGCAATCGGATCGGGTCCCAGTGGTTGGGTGGATGGTCTGGCAGTTTGCCTTGTATCCGAAATGTCTTGGGTTCGAATCCATGTGGGTGTGTACTGCTGAAGGGTTCAAAACTAGGTTGACGAAACAGCTGTCTGACATTGTCCGTGTTGGACAGTAGTAGCGAAAGTGTCAGGTAATTGATTATGATAACAACTCAGGGGTTAATTATCATTTGGCTGTTAGTATATTGGTAAAACCTTACAAACTAAGAATGATATTTAAAAATTGGGTTCAACTCATCAAATTCACTACTTTGTGGTAGTAGCTCTGTCCAACGACTCAGACGAACTGAGTTCGACTCCCTTCTGACACTATCCTAAACGTCGGCTATTTTACTAGCAGACAGTAAACTCAGAAAGGAAGAAAGCTTAAGGGCGTGTGTCTAACAAGCCCATCCTGTAAGGCAGAACAGCAACATCACCAGAACTACTGAAAAGTCAAAACTAGAAGCCCTGTGTTCCAGTCGGAACTCAGAGGAATAGAAAAAACCTCACGACCTGTCAGCAGTAGTGACTGAAATTCTCACTACCCCTGTGAGGTGAATTCAGAATATCTATCATTTAGATTAGTGACTATAATCTCCCTCCCAGAAATTAACTTTCTATAAGTAACTATAAAAGACATCCTTACCGCCGGCTTGTTAATAATCCAGACACAACTTCGTGAATCTTAACTTTTGTAGATCCGCCACAGGGATCTACTGTTAGTTCATTCCACCGGAGGGAATCCACCCTCGAAATCTCAAGATTTTGTTAGGGTCATGATTGCCCCTTGGTGAAGGGAATCGGAATGAAGCGAAGTAGCTGTCCACTGATTCTTAGACTGATTATTTCGTTGCCATTGTCTCCTTTAATAGAGCTTCATCCACACGTCTCCATTGCGTTTGGTTAGCTGCCAATATTTTCACATGGCTCCACGTCTGCCGATATGCTTTCATCTCATCTTTGCGCTGACGACCAAGTGACTCACCACTTCCCATTCAGGATCAACTCGAGCTATGTCCTAGCGTGTGATGTTACTCACTTGAACGTTTGTTTTCTCAGAGTGTGCCAATCTACCTGCAATTCTTCCTGCATATTTATTGCACAATCGATTCCTAGTTGGTTCGCTCCCAGAGATCCCTGTTGTTGATATCGAATGGATTTAAATACCAGACAGACATTTTGTCTCTTTAGGATCGAGCTCATCATCTGTGCACCAAGTTTAGATCACTTTGAGTTGGCTAGCAAACACTACTCATTGACCTGAGTAGTATACATCTACTCATCTAAATCAATCAGTAGTATATACGTGAATGCATTCACGATTGGCTTTCTTGATGTCAAGCAAATTACACGTTGATTGGCGACCTAAATAATCTTGGTTTCCAAAGGAATTCATGCGGTGAAATAATCCCGACCCCCCCCCCCGGTCGAACTGTGTAAACTACGAATTAAATTTCAGATGAGTTATTAGCTACATTAATTCAACTGATTAAAAATGCCCATTAAAATTATTTTCAAAAGAATGGTTACTGAACAGGAAATATTCTTCTTGATAACCTGCTCTTCATCAAACTCTACAGTTATATGCACCCATAATAGTGTATGAATCAGTGTTATGAACAACATGAATGTTGTTTAAATAGCATCGAATCAACATTAATAATATCAATGGTGGATTACAGTTCAGTAGCATCAACATAAAAATAAACTGAATTTCAGAAAAATTAGGAAATATAATATTACAAATTCATGAATTTATAGTCTCCACTGAGAGGCTGGTCAGGGTAGTAGCAGAAGTGGCTGGACTTGCTTCTTTCGAACACAAAGCGCGAATTGCGATAGCCTTTGCTGTTTGGAGTATGCGGTACCTCAGTGGTTTTGGCAATTTATTCGGTACCTGATAGATGATACAGAAGGAATGCTTAAGTGTTAACTTTGTGGCTAGTTTGGATCAGGTGGTCTAATATTGAACTGTTGATGCTTCTCACTACACCTTTACTTAACCACACTGGTAGGTGTTCCTAAGCTAGGATGAGAAATCAAGTTCCTGGAGGAACAGCCAATACAACTCACTCCATGACGAGCGAATCGGTAGATACAATTTGAAATGGCTAGTATAGGTACTTCATCTTCCAATTGAGGAATCACCATCAGTCGTGTAGAGAATAAGACTGGTAGTTTTCTTAGTTTCTTCAGAATTATTTCGCTTGGTTTATCGCCCTTCAATTGAAGTCGCATATAATATAAAAGCTTCTTGTTTACGGATAGTGAGTGTAGTCCTTTTCCGCTTTCTCTGTCATGTGTTTCTTGATAAATTTGTCGGGATAGGTATTTTCAAACAAGGTATCATATACAATCCTTAGTTCATCTGCAATCACCCCTTTTGAGCATATAGCTCTAATACCAAGAGTCTTTACCGAAGTTGCTTATGTACTGGAGAGGAACAAAGCTGTGAAATGCAACATAGGGATAAGAGCTTCAAGATGAAGTTCTAATGAATGAAGAGAAAACGTCTAATACCACAAAGATGAATTCAATTCTAATGGATTTACTGAGATTTTCAATCGAAAGTGTCATCTGTAAAGTTGGTCACAAATGTACTGAAAGATGTTTTTTTGGAGAAGTAATAGACCCTTTCTAACTACCTGACTTTTCTTGTTCTCTTATATAACATATAATGTACAATGAATGTCCATTTTTTATTGAATAAGGAACTATATAGAAAAATCGACAGTGTAGCAATAGGGTCACAACTAGGACCCATTCTAGCCGACATTTTCCTTGCGAAACTAGAAAAGGGGCCTTTGAAGGATGTTATTGGTGAACTCGATTTCCTTTCTTCGGTACATGGATGATACACTTTTGATTATGAAAAATGACAACGCAGCAAAGAAAATCCTGGATAAATTCAAAGAGGTTCATCTTGCAGTAAATTTTACTATTGAGAAAGAAAAAGATTCTTGTCTTTCATTTCTAGACGTCCTTATGACCAGAAAAGAGGATGGCACAATAAGAAGAAGTGTTTATAGAAAACCTACATCAATGGATCAGTGTACTCATTTTTCAGCTTCATGCCCTTAAAATACAAACACAATCTGATAAAGTGCTTCGCTCACAGAGCAAGAGCAATCTGCACGGATGAATGTCTTGATGAGAAACTCGATAATATTAAACGGTTTCTGATTGAAAATGGTTATCCAGAAAAGTTTATTGATAAGAATATGAATCTAAAATCAAAGCAGCTCAATGTACCACCAGTTCCTAAAAAGGCCTTATTCTTACAAATGCAGTTCCTTGAAGACAACACCAGCGAGATACTAACAAAGCGGCTTAAAAGTGAGGTGAAAAGATCCTTCCCTGCTGCCAAATTACGCTGTGTCTTCAAAACTACTCCTTTTTTGCGTTCGGAAGTAAAAGATAAACTGTCTAATCTTGCCTCTTCCATGTGTATCCACCAATTAAACTGCTCATGTGGAGCTAGTTACATAGTCCGTACAATTAGACGGGTTTCTCGTCGGATCTCCGACGACCACCCTGCATAGTGGTTAAGTAAAGGACAAACCAAGTCTATTCTCAGCGCTATTCTATCTCATCTTATGAACACAGAACACAAGATTGATGTCAGCGAGGCGGCTTTCAAAGTCATTTAATGCATACCAATAAATATTAACTTCGCCTTAAGAGCTCGTTGAATAAATATTGCTGAGGCTGGCTGTTGGGATCCACATTAAGAAGCCTAATTTGTGCACCCAAAAGATGTTAGTTCAGACATTATCCTTACCTTGACCATCTAGGTTTGAGTGATCCTCAATTTTTGTGGAATTTTTCTAATTTTAGTTGATATTCTAATTGCTATTATATCTTTATTATTATTATTACAATTTAGGCATCTTTAATGAACTGTGGTAATTCCATTGTGATCTTACTGGACAAATCGATATTATTTAAAAAACACGCCGATATTGTTATTGATTACTGTTCTAGAATTTTCTCTGTATACAAACATATGTATATATAATTCTAGAGCCAGAAGAGCAGGAAATGATCGAAAAGGGGGGGATATTCTTTGCTCAATTATTTTGTGTTTTACAGATGTCTCAATGGATATTTTTGACATTATAATTTTAACAAAATGTTCTTATTGTCATTTTCGTTTTGTTTCTTTTTCAATTTTGTCATCTTCTTTTTACGCTACTCAACTATGAAGAAAGAATTATCCCAACGCTCAGGTTATAATCATTTGAAAACTTCATGTGAAGATATACAAAGCATGAAATTTAACAGACAATTTATTGGTCAGCTACCTGGTTCATGTCGATCTATTGCAGCGGGGAATAATAATCATACAAATAAATTAAGCAAGTTTATAGAGTGATTAGTATTCATTTTTTATTTATTTACTTATTTTTTTCATTTTTCATTACAGCTTGATTTCATACTGTATTTTTGGTTCAAGTGAGGCATTTTCAGCATGTGATATCGGTAGCCTAAATTTTGCAGACCGGCCATAGATGTCGGGTGTGCGTCGGCAGGGGATCGAACCTCGGGACATGTGCACGGTCGGCGAGAGTCCTAACCACTGTGCCACCGACCAGGCACATTGTTTATCATGCTTTCTGTGGTCTGTTGACTGTCCTGGTATTTCCTGTTTATCGAACTGAAATGTCCAGTCTCCGTGGTCACATCGGCTTCTAGAATAGCAGTTTTGATGAAACCTCTTCGTTAACACCTTCTTTTTTTACCTTCGATTGCATTTTGAGTGTAACACAGCTGAGAATATATATCGCTGTAGCATCCTTCAGCTTGGTTAGCGAATGGATAACGTAGGTTTATACACAGATCAATAACGGAGCATCTGATGAACTCAGGACGCTAAGCTCTATTTAAAAAGTCTTTCAAAGTTTCATACAAGATCCGATCAAAGGAAGCGAATTCAAGGCATCTGGGCATAGCTATGGCACTAGTGCTCCAAAAAAAAGCCAAGCCAATGCGATGTATTCAAAAGAAATACAACCAACTCTTATCTGAATCATGTTTATCGTCAACAGTGTTAGTTCGCTCAATAATTATGATCCTACTATATTTTTCTCCGATCTTCCTGCTTGTTTTGTTACTATAACATTTTAATCTCCATTTTATTTTCTTGTTATCTGTCATAATTTGGCCCTCAATCGGAAATAGTTCTAAAACGTTGTCATCCATTTACTACATATATGAATAAAGCAAGAACAACAGTGTGGTTTGTGCGGAAAAATTTGTTACCCTCATTTATTTCGTTGGCTTCTTATCAACTGATTACAGCCTGAATAAATTGTGAGGTTTATGTTAAGAAATGTTTTAACATACTTGCAAATTTTTTGCCATGATACCGGTTGGCAGAAAGTTCCACAATTTGTTGAACAGTGCTCAGAGAATTGCGCTTATATAGTTTTTGCACAGGCAGTTCAAGTCTAAACAAAAATAAATGTATGCATACAATGGTAAAGAAGTTACGCACATTAAAGTCGAGAGATGCGTAAGATGCAGAGTGACTAATAATTTAGGTGACAATGTAGTGAGTTCAATTCAAATCATAGGAACAAGAGACAAGCAAAATTAAACTATTTCAAAGGGGGGGGGGTGAGGTTAAAGTCAAAGATTAGGTAATCAGACGAGAGAATAAAGACATCCAGTTACCAGGCTGGACAAGGAAAGACTAATAACTGATTCTTTCTGAACACATAAATCTAGTTTCAAGCGTTTGATAGAAATTGCTCCGGCAAACTTGAGCAGAATTGAGCTCCTTTGTTTATTGATAATTTTAAAAGATTTCTCTATTTCCACCTCATGACCCGTGTCGAGAAAATGTCTGGTAATAGCGCTACTATAATAGTTTGTTCCCTTGAGACGTAGGCTTTTCGGCACATGTTCAGAAAATCGGAGGTGTCCCTTTCTTTCTGTTATCCCAATGTAACTGCTCCTGCAGATACACGTAAATTTGTATACACAGAGGGAGTTAACATGTGAAGGGTATTTATCGACTTTTGACTGCACCAAACAGCATGTCGCTCGATGGATGAGAACTAACGTAGCTGCAGTATAGGCTCTGGCTAGTGACATTCTCAGTCTTCTGTTGACCATTGCTACAATGTTTTCAGCTTTAAAATCTAGTTGAATGAAGACAGACTTTTTTCAGCTGTGATTTGTTCGATATTTGAGCCTTCATATCTTCCATATTTGTTGCTGAAGCTTTGAGGATAACCGTTGTTTATCAACACCTTTTTGAGAATCGTAAATTCTTCCTCTAATTTCTCTGAAGAGCATATTCTTCTCGCTCTATAGTACAGAGTACATATACATGAATGTACAGTCTAGCTGATGACTTTGCCGAGGAGGAAATTTCCTTTACTGCAACTGTATTATCTAATTGTCAATAGGCTTGACAGAAAATATAGCTTCCTGAATGAATGTTAATTGTTTTTCCAGCAGCTGATTTGTGGAAATACAACTCCCTGATTTGATGTATCTCAATTCCAAGTTGCACTTCACTTACTCCAGTCTGGATAATTAGTTAGTATTATTAGTATACGTATGACCATCGTATAGCGGCGTACATGATAAATCTTATCCATAACCTATTGGTTTCTTCGTTACTTAGCTTCTGGCTTTAGGGCTAAGTAGATTCTTGGAATGGAGTTATTGTGATTTGAGACAAAAACCAAAGATCGATAGCCAGATACTTTTGTCACATCTATGTGAATTTATAGATTCAATTTCACCTACGGTGGCAGTTATTTTGGGTGTACTACTAGACAGTTTAACCAACGTGTTACCACTGTACACCTCCTGTCGCGGTTTGGTAAAGGAAGAGCAAAAACCATCCATAACTCCTTTTTTTATCACACTTGGTTGACTGTAGTCGTGTAGTGGAGAAAAAGGAAACATTCGAGGCAATTCATCACAACCCACGGGATCTTTCTAATAGACTTCATATTCATCTACTCCACATAACTGAGGTAGACTGTAGGAATTCGAACTGTTAAGCCTAAGCTATACATTCAAAAACAGTTCGTACATAGCCACTATCCCTCCCCTGTTGGTCTATTGATACCTAACCGACTGATAACTTCTCCCCTATCCCTTAATTAAATTTCTCAAACCCTCTGTTATCATCCCTTAATCTTATCACATCTTCATTCAAAGTGTATTTCATTTACTTTCGTTACAGTCTAACATTACTCAATCGGTTCATTTGTTTTTTCTTAGCGTTTATCGACTACTTTGTCTACCTGAACATTTGTTTGTTTATTCATGCTGTTTTTCATTATTATTGTGATTTGATCACTTAGGTAAGAAAGGTGGTAATGACAGTTTTTTATGAGTATGTGAATGGAAAGTGTTTTCATTTCTAAGTGTTTTATTTGCTGCGTTTCTTTGAAGATTCAAACCTACGAACTTTGTTTTTTTTTTGTGCTTGAAAACACAATACCATTATGACTAAATTAGCGTGTATTTAAAATCATCAACAGTTCTGTATAAGATCACCTCATCCAAACAGGCCACAAAGCTAACATTTCATGCACTTATTCCCCTTGATGAATTTGAATAAAGCAAGGGCAACAGTGGATTGTACAGCTGGCTCTGGCTAGTGACGTACTCAGTCTTCTGTTGACCATGGCTGCAATGTTTTATTTCACCTTTAAAATCTAGTTAAATGAAGACAGGGATTCTTTTAACTGTGATTTGTTTGATGTTTAAGTCTTCACAGCTTCCATATTTGTTTGCTGAAGCTTTCAGGATAACCGTTGTTTATCAACACTTTTTCGACAGTCGTAAATTCTTCCTCTAGTCTGTCTTAAGAACATATTCTCCTCTTTCTATAGTACTAAGTCTTGACTACTGCTCGTTTGTAGCTGTTTGAGCAATAACTACTAAAATGTAGGTATCGTCTATTCCTTGCCAGTTTTCGGTAAATTGAATTCTGGAGACCGCCATCTTCTGGGAGTTGCACGGCAATTTCAACGAAGTGGAACTTTCCACCATTTTCAAGTAAAATCATCCTGAAGAGAATAACAGATGCACTGGATGCAGTACTCCGCCAGCCCAGAACAAGCTGGATTCAAGAAAGGCAAATCGTGTGCTGATCAAATTGTAACTCTACGCAACACCATCGGACAAAGCAGAGAATGACAGTTAAATCTCTACGTCAACTTCATCAACTTCAAAAAGGCATTCGACAGTGCAGCGTAGAGCGAGAAGCAATTTGGAAACTGCTTCAACACTTCGGCGTGCAGTACCTTAATCTTTATCAACCTTATTCAACAGCTGGCTGTATGACAGTGCCACGTGTCAAGTGATCCACAACAGGAAACTTAGTGAGACTTTCAAACTGAATAAGAGAGTAAGACAAGGCTGCCCACTACTATCACCGCTGATATTCTAAAGTCTGGTGAACTGGATTATGCGTCAGACTGTTCTTCGGCAGTGTCTGAGAAGACAGGAATACTTTAGACCGATAAGAAGACTGTAGGAGATCTGGATTTCGCTTGTGGATGATTTATGAAGTCCCTTCTGATCCTGAGTGCTGCAAAATTGATTTGTTGACTGCTTTGCATCCTTATTTTGACAACTATGCTGATTAGTGTTCACCAGCATGTCTAGACAATGTACTACTGGTATGGCCCATTTACTTTGCTCCACAGTGTGTGGGATCTTATTTTTGACATTTTGGTGAACAAGAGCATGTAGAGAGAAAGTGAAATGGAGTCACTAAGATTCTTAGGCTTGGCTGAAAGTTTTACACAAATTCATTTAAATATTCACACTGTCTTGTTAATGTTGTATTTTTCTTTTCCTTGTATTCACAGATGGATCATTGAGACAGTTGAATTCAGTTAATAAGGTAAGTCGGTCTGATGCATACAGCACATATTCTTCCCTGTCTCTTTGCTCTCTGGCTAAAATACATGAGGCCTAAATCTTCGAATTTTCTGTAGCGGTAGTTTTGTTTTGTTCTGTGGTGAAGGGGAGGGGGTGGGACTACTAACCTCCCGCACATCCAACCTTGTTTTTTATGAGCTTCCTGTAGGTGAGTAAATTAATCAGGGCTTTTAGGAGAGCTCACTGGCTGGGAATTGAACCAGGTCCTCCAGCATAGTTGGTGAACATTCTACCGTTGAACTACGAAAGCCTGTTTCATATATATATATATATATATATATATATATATATATATATATATATATATATATATATATATATATATATATATATATATATATATATATATACAAAAGAAGGCCCTAAGCTTATTGTCTTTAACACTTAATGATAAGCTACCAAGTGTACTAGTATAAATTCATCACCTCTGTTTTCTCTGTGTTCATCTGAAGTCCTATCTTCTCTGGATGTTTCTTCTGCCACCTTATTGCTTTTCACTTGCATATCTCTCAATGTGTTGGAAATTAGACACATACCATCGGCAAAATCCAGATCCTCCAAGTTTCTTGTGTGGGTTCATTTTATGCCTATTTCTTCGCTGCCCGCTGTCTGTCACATTATCCAGTCTACTGCAGTCAGGAAAGTCATTGGAGGTAGTAGTCAGCCAGAAGGCTTTGGCTTACTCCCTTCTTCACTTCTTCACGAAGGATTCCGTGAGTTTCCCACTGTGGATTACTTGGCATGCAGCATTGTCGTACAACTGTTGGATGAGATATATAATTGTTGGTGGCACCTCTTGAAAGTAGCAAAGTAGTTTCTAAATCACCTCTCGATTGACGCTGCGCTATCGAGGGGTCTTTACAAAGTCAGTGAACTTGAGTAAGATAGAGAGGTGACTGCCATTCCAAGCTCTATTCAATGATTATGCATAGTGTTGCGATTCGATCGATGCATGATTTGTTTCTCCTGAATCCAGCCTGTTCCGATTGATGATTTCCATAGAGAGTGACGTCTTTGATTCTCTCCAGGATGATGCGACTTAGTACTTTGCTTGCGATGGACAGAAGCATTATGCCATGCCAGTTCTTACCAAGCTTACTACCAGTTAAGCGAGGCTTAGGACTACATGCATAGTTGGTGAGCACTGTACCAGTGAACTACCAATACATAGTCAATTATTTAAAAGTACTTAATAAAGGCAGTTGATTCGTGTCATCCCGACCCATTCTTCGGTTACACATAGTAGGCAATGTCAGGGAGGCAACGGTATCAGAGTGTCACTTGTTCAACATTTCCAAAAGCTGTCAACAAAAAATGATAATAAATACTTAATTGATTGATGTTAGTAGTAGGCGTAAGACTTTCATTTCAGCTTATTTAGGTTTTATCAACTTGAAATCCCTTCATCCTCTTCTTTATTGAGTGTTACTGTTCTCAATGAGACTGGTAGTAGGAAAAAAAGAGACTCTAATTCGCTGTAATAATTCTTCTGGCGTCAAGTTTGATCTCGGACTGATATCAGTTAGATGACCACTGAAAATCAGAATGCAGTACTGGACAGCTGTTTGCGACACTTCTGTAATGAGCTCACCTCATCCCACCAGAGTTCGAACCTAGCAACTTCAGCTCATTGAGCATTCACTCATTCATGAATATAATAATTCAATTGAATATTCCCATAATTTATTCAGAACAACAAAATAGTTAGAGGAGTGAACACCTGTGGCTTTTAATAAATTCTTTCTTCTCCAGGCTCTGTCTACAATTGTAAATCCATTAATTTAAGCATACAATAGCCAGCCAGCCAGTAAAGGCAAATTAGAATCATATCAGAAAGTGTATTGTGGAACAAGTATAATATGGGATGGAACAATAGTCAGTTAGTTTTTTTAATATGCATGGTAAATTAGAACATGAGATGAAATAATTTAATGATGGGTGTGTATGTATATAAATATAGTCAACAGAAAATACAGGTTTCGAGATTGAGTGTAATCCGTGTGTGTGAGACAATATGAAAATAAACCAACGAATGGGGCTGTCTAGACCTAAGTGCAAGGTTGAAAATAACGACAGTAAGAATGATTGTAAAATAATAACAATGAATATCATGAAGTCGAATGAACAGGGTTTTGAAAATATGATAACAAGTTAGAAAAGCATTGCTTAAACCTAAGGTAATAGAAATCATAAGAAAGGTTATGAAATCATAAAAGTCGAAAATGAACGTTTGTCAATGGAACAATGTTTATGGAGGATTTGTTGGCTTTATTGTAGGCCCAGGTAAACATAGCGGTTGAACATACTTCTTGTGTATACAAAGAGTTGATCTTCTGGTATTAATTGTAACCGATTTCAGCTACTGATTGATAGAAGACATAGTTGAGCCCCTCTAGATAGATTACTAGGAACGCGGCAAATAACTGAGAACGCCTGGTCAAGTTTTATCTGGCGTCAGATATCTACCAAGTGGACTAAGACTGTACCATATACGCATTTGGTTACCCCTTTACTCAACCAGGTACAGGTACATGTTCACGCGCGCGCGCATGGATAAAGTCCTTTCAGTACGGTCAATGTAACTACCTATTGTATGCTTAAATTAATAGATTTATAATTGTAAAGAGAGCCTGAAGAAGAATTTTTTGAAAGTGATAATTGTTCACTTCAACTATTTTGTTGTTCTGAATATAATAATTATCGATTTTTAGTAATTGCTATTTTTTTTAATTATCGCACAAATCTGTGTTAACTGTTGTTTTCCACATATTACTTTATTTGAAGGTGAACTATTCCTCACTACGGTGTTCTGCTAATCCAGGTTAGTGTAATTCATATATATATATATATATAAACTATTGCGGTGATGTGGGGTCAGCCGGAAACTGGTGTGATTCGCACTAACAGTCTCTCAACCAACTAATGAACAGTGGTAATGTCTTGGACCGTAGTACTTGATGACAAGAATCCCAACCCCAAAGGTGATATGGGTTCCCTGTAATCCATCTTTGTTATAAGTGCCCGCAGATACAAAACCTAGGTATATGGTTTCCTGTTAATCAGTTTAAGGTGTCTCATGATGGCGAGTTACTTAGCTTAACGTATAGAATTCAGTTTGCAGTTGCAAGCATCAATCATTAAAACACAGTATGGGTTTATTTAATTGAATTTTAGATTTTCCCATCGATTGATGATTGGACAGAAGTGCTTGGTCTTAGGTTAACGTGTCGACTACTTCTGCAAATACGTCGAAGATGTGTGGATATATAATTAGAATTTAACTGATGTATGGTGACTAGTAGTGGAATCCAGAATAACGCACATTTCTTCCAATTTGGGACTCGTCATCTGGACGTACCTTCAACGGGAAAATCTAAAAATTCAGTTAAATAATTAATATGACCCGTTGCACAAGAGGTGGCTAGCTGTCGTGGCTCAAGTGGTCTAGTGGATAACGCTTCGGCGTTTAAAACTATGGGTACTGGGTTCTAGCCTCAATGACTGGGAAATGCAGGTACATCCAGATAACGAGTTCCAAACAGAACGAAATGCGCATCTTGGTGGATTCCACTGCTAGTCACCATCCACCAATAAACACTATAAGTTTGTTTGAGCACCTGTCAAACTACTGATATATGTTAGTAGTATACACACACTATGCATATGGATTAAATTTATTTTATGCCCATAATATTTTTAGTTGTCATGAACCAATAGAAATTATGAAGATCATTGAGAGAATCATTGAGTACTCTACAGGTGTTTCATGTTAGTCTGCTACTGTTCACCAGTGCACGCACACTCACACTACTCCACGACCAGATATCGAGCCCAAAGCCTTAAGGTGACGAGACTAACTAAGTTCGTTAAAACCACTGTAATTTTCAAGTATTGGTTTTGTAGGGAGTTTTGTTTGATTGCATGGAGGATTTCATCATGAGCTGACATCAGTTAAAGAACCACTGGAAAAACAGCTGAGAGTACTGGATAGCTGTTTCGTCTTAGTTTGGAACTCTTCAGCAATACGCACCCACCACCGGGGTTCGATTTTCTGGTTACAAGGCCATCGAGCTCGTAAACCATTGAGCTACTGGGACCCGGTTTTTCCAGTGGATTCCCTAACTGATGACAGTTCATGATGCAATCCTCCATGCATTTAAACAAAAATCCCTACAAAGCCAATACTTGAAAATTCATCTGATGCTCACTAGCCCCTGGCCCTATTCAGGTAGGCAGTTAACCTGGGGTTCTAGTGGAAAGCCATGACCAGTAGGGTACAGCACGTTGAAGGAAGATGAATCAGTAACTCTTAGAGGAAGACATTGCGAAATGGTCGTGTTATGCTATGTCGTGAATTGGCAGAGGTTAGAATTCATGGGCTGGTGACCATTGGATCAGGTCCTAGTGGCCCAATGGTCTACGAGCTAGCTGGTCTTGTAACCAAAAAGTCATGGGTTCGAACCCTGCCGGTGTTTGTCTACTGCTAAAGAGTCCCAAACTAGGACGAAATTAGTTGTCCACTGCCACCAGCTCATGATGAAATCCTTCATGCAAAGCCATCATAAGCCACTAGAATGAATTAATATCTTTTGGTATAGTGTTATTGTCGATATGAATGTGTGTTTTTCTCTGTCGGTTACTAATGGGTTATACACGAATCGGTAAACGTATTCATTCTTTGCAAAGCACAGAATACCACATGTATTTCGTATGTGTATGTGTGGGCGTGTGTGTGTGTGTGCGTGAATGTATTCATTGGTATGTGTAAACGTTTTTTGAAACAAATATTTGTATTATTCATTGTCATAAGTTTTTTGTTTTTGTTTACGGTATTTTTAAGTTTCATGTTCGGTTTTTATATTTCTCTTCACTTCACCTTTGTTTGTAACTGTGTGTTTCTGTGCGCGCGCGCGCGCGCCTTTTGAATTCCACTGGAAATTAGCTTTTAAAATCAAAGTAGAAAAGGCAGAAGAACAAGAAGATGAATACGAATACGAAAGGTATCTAAAAAAAGGCAGAGAGAGAGAGAGAAAGAGTGAAGACAAACGAAAATTGAACACACATGAACTAATGTCATATTGGTTTGTCTTAGCCAGAAAAGGAAAGCAAAGCTGCTTTTATTTCAAGTGTTTATTTATTTATATATTTGTTTATCTATTTTTATTTGTGTGTGAAGGCTTGTGTATGACTCATTGGTGGGGTTAAATTCAACTGAACAGTGAATGGTGTAGCGGTGATGTTTTGCTTCTTTTTTTTGGCTTGTTCACAATAATTTTGCCGTAAAAGAGCACTTCAGTGGTCAGCAGAGAGAAGATGGGAACACGTTGAACTGACACAATGACATTAGAAGATCACTTAGAGGATAAAACTTGTGCACTGTGATGGTAGAGCATAACCACTCCATTATGGATAAGATTTTAATATGATAAATCACACACAGTGTTGTTATACAGTAATATTAACTGATGCGACCACGTCTCGGTGTATACTGAAGATCAGATGGCCGGGCCGGAGGGAATCACCAACAAGAAACTATGGGAGTGAACAAACAAAACAAGAATCAATCGCTAACCAACAAATATGCAGGAGAAAGTGGAGATGAATTGGACACTCACTCGCGACTGAGGAGGCCGCCACTGGGTGACATCGCGCGCACGTCAGGCCATTGCTCGAGTGGAACCAGGCAGAAAGGGAAGCACGCGGCAAGTGGGACGTCAGTGCAAGGATGACATGGAGGAGATGGTGTGAAGAGGAGTTGAAAAAGTATGGACTAACATCGATGCAGGTGAAAAGTACAGCAGAAGGAAGACAGAAGTGGCAAGTGGAGACGTGCAGTTGAAGCCCTACGTTCCACTAGGAACCCAAAGAAACAATAATAATAATAATACGTATCGAGCACAAATTATTGCCACTCATAATCATATCAAGACACTACTCACACAACTTATTTCCTTCATTTGTATACATGTGTGGAATTGACTAGATATTTAAATAAAAATCAGTTTGGGATAATGTATATTCAGAAGCTTTCTAGGCTAAAAGACCCGGTGGATTCAATTAAACAAAATAATATAATTTACAAAATACCTTGCAATGACTTTGAGGTCAACTACATAATTCAGTCAAACGAGTAGATCGAGGGTAATCAGATTGTCGGAACATAAGAATTTAGCTAATGTAAGAATGCTTGACCCCGGGAAGATAAGTAATTTAAAAAAAAGCTCAGCACTACATCGCACTGGATGTATTAACACACAACCACACAATTTTTTTTTGATTTACAGCTTGATTCCATAAAGTATTTTTGGTACAAGTATGGAATTTTCAGTATGGATATCGGTAGCCCAAATTTTTCAGGCCGACCATAGATATCAGGTGTGCGTCGGCGGGTGCTTGAACCCCGGACCATATGCGTGGTCGACGAGAGTCCTAACCACTGTGCCACCGACTCACAAGAGGGTGGATTGGAGAGGGTTAAAATTCTAAAAAGTAATCTAGGTAGGTGGAGAGAGAGATTGATTACTGAATCCTGACTGGTTTATTGAGTAATCTACACCCAACACATGCAACAGAAATGACTCAATGCAAATACAATCAGAGATATGGAAGATATTATTACCACCAGTCAGTCAGTCAAATCAGAGGAGGATAATAAATAATCTTAAAATTCTATTTCAATTCAAGCACATCATAACATTCTAACAAGTTACTTATCATGATTATAAAAACAGTGGTCTTATTTCCCATCTGATTGTAATTGATCAATAACACTCATATTACTATTGTTTCTGAATGTAAATTATCCTATATTGATTTTTATTGAAATATCTCGACAATTCCACACATGTATATAAGTGTAGGAAGAAAGTTGTGTGAGTAGTGACTTGATATGATTATGAGCACCAATAGTTTGTGCTCAAAACGTGGTCATCAGTTAATATTACTTTGCAACACTGTGTGATTTATCAAAGTAAAGTCTTATCCACAATGGATTTATCTCTAATGTTGGAGGATTTTATCATGAGCTGACATTGGTTAGAGAACCTTTGGAAAACCAAATGGGAGCACTGCCAGACAGCTGTTTCGTTCTGTTTTAGGACTTGTCATCTGAATGTAGCTGTATCTGTACTGACTATTAATGTTACGACTGGGACTTGAATACGGTAGCTGTGTCACTTGAACAGCCGAAACATTATCTACTAGGCAATTACGCCATGAGAGCCATTTCTCACAGTTCAACAGGTCTGATAATTGCTATAAAATAAGATTACGTTAAGTCGTGAACAATTCTAATTAATACCAAGTTATGAGGTCTTCAAAAGGTTTCACATAGTGTTCACTATGACTCTAAAAATAAGACATCTAAAGAATTGAATAGAGGATTTCATTATGAGCTGACATGGGTTAGGGAAACACTGGAAGACGCGGGACTACCTGACAGCTGTTTCCTTCTATTTTGGGAATCATCATCAGTACACACCTACGCCAGGGTTCGAGCCCAGGACCTTTTGGTTACAAGGCGAGCTAGCTCGTAGACCATTGAGCCAATGGCACTGATTAAGGCACTCTAATCATACTCATACAGCCAGGTGATACAGAGAGTTGTCATTTGAACTGGTGAAAACTAGTGGTGTCCGTCAAGGATGCCCATTATCCCCTCTTCTATTCAACTTCATCATAGATATACTAATGGAATTAACCCTAAGTGACTTCAGAGACTCAGGGATTGACTTGCTACCACGGAATAATCTCGCTGACTTAAAATATGCTGACGGTATAGTCCTTCTAGGCGAGTACGCTGAAAAAGTGCGGACACAGTCTTCTGAACACCTTCAGCAACAATCTATGAACGTTTGGCATGCGGTTCGCTTCCGTCAAATGCAAGATGATGGTACAGGACTGGACTACACCGAATCCTAGATTAGAAATGGGGAGTGAAGTGGTAGAGCACGTTGACCACTTCACTTATTTGGAGAGTACCATCAGCCAACGCCAACGGGTTGATCTCTGACAGAATCTCAGCACGGATACAGGGGGCTCGTTTAGCATCTGCCAGTTTACGCCGTCTCTGGCTTAGACGAGATATTCGACTATAGACCAAAGGGCGGGTGTACTGCTCATCAGGCCGCTCCGTCCTCCTTTATGTCTAACTGCGAGACCTGGCCACTGAGAGTGGAAGACATGAAAAGATCAGCTAGCTGTCTTTGATCATAGGTGCCTGCGCTCTATCTCCCGTGTGAAGTGGTATAATAAGGTGAGCAATATTGAGATTAGGCGTCGAGTCCTAGGTAAACAGGGGAAATCAATCGACGAAGTTGTGAAGTTACAAAGACTGAGATGGTTAGGACATGTGTTACGCACGCCTAGCAATCGCCTTCCTAGACGGGCAATTTTAGCGGATTTAGGGTCAGGCTGAAAAAGAGCTAGCGGAGGTCAAACAAAAAGGTGGCACCAATCAATGAAATCTACAACAGTTAGTCTAAGCCATGTAGGAAGGTGTAGACTTCCAGGCTGGTTGGGGTCCTCGGGACAGTAGAAACAAATGGTTGGAAACAATTTGTGACATGGCTCAAAATCGTTCTCAGTGGCGCAGATGCATCTACTCCTTATGATTTATGATTATCAATGAAACTGTTTTGTTCTTCGTTATTACTCTTCCTTTGTCTCAGACCTCTGCTTACTGTCTGTATTATGCTTTTCTTGTACTTTCTTCTGTTGCTTTGTGTGCTACATGGAGTGTGGCGACTTGAACTGCCACACATTGGTGCAAAGTTCTATGTCGAAAACAGACATACCCGATCCAATGACCAGTCAGTCTATGAATATTAACTTCTGCTAATTCATGACATAGCGCGATCACTTCGCAATATCTTCTTCGATGAGTTACTGCCTCATCGTCAACCTGCTGTATCCTACTGGTCACGGCTTCCCTCCATGCAATCAAAAAAATCCGTACCAAACCAATACTTGAAAATCTGAAGAATTGAATGTAGCTTTTGTTAGATGACGGGGATCCTAACAGATCAGATGTATTCATATCTATCGAGAATCCATAGAAACAAACAGATCAGCAGGGTCAGGTCAGCAAGTCAGGTAACAGGACACTTACTAGCCGATAAAATTGGCTGGCGGCTGAGCTACATATATCAGGAGTTATCAGAAGTTGGCATTCATGGGATGACCACTAGATCGAGTATCAGTGGTTGGAGAAATGACACAGTAGAGCTCTCCTTGTAACTAGGAATGTGGCATGTCCGAACCCTTTAGGCTTGTACTGATGAAGCGTCCAAAACTAGGACAAGGACAGTTGTTCAGCACTCAATGGTTCTCTAATAGTCAATCAACACTTATAATTTCAAACATCAAAGAGATATCCACATATCTGACTACGAATTGGTATCAGTTAGAGAACCATTAAAAACCAACAGGGAATACTGGACTGCCAGCTGTTTTATCCTACTTTGGGAATCATAGGGAGTACCCACCTACTACCAGGATTCGAACCCACGAACTTCCGACTACAAGGCAAGCTCGCTGACGAACATCCAGACACTGGGATCCGATTCAATCGCCAGATCATGAATTCTCGCTTCCAACAATTTGTAACCTTTGAGGTCCAACCAGTCAAGTGTGAGGATTGAGTTCCCACCGATGACATTAGTTGGTGGTTGCTAAATGCACTACGAATTGGTAGAAGTTAGAATTCATGGGCTGGATGGCCATTGAATCGGGTCCCAATGGCTGGCTGAATGGTTGCCGACGAGCTTGCCTTCTAACCGGAATGTACTGGATTCGAACCCTGACGGTGGATGCGTACTGCCAATGATTCCCAAATGAGGATGGAAGAAATAGCTGCCTAGTACTCCCAGCTGGTTTTCAATGTTTCTCTAACTGATATCAATCCGTGATCAACTCGTAAGAACAAATCTAATCCTTAGGAACCAGCTATTGAAAAGTAATTATGTGTCTGATCATCCACTGACATCAGTTAGAGAACCATTGGAAAACTATGCCGTGGGTAATAAACAGTTGTTTCATCCCTGTTTGGGACCTTTCAGCAATGCCCGAATAACTCCCAAGTTACAAGGTGAGGTCATAGACTATCCTACCATTAGGACACTATCCAGTCAATTTGTGATATATGTAGATCAACCAACAGTCAGTATCATTGGCGAATGATTGCTCTTTTTACCTGACTCGGTGGACCGCACTGGTCACAACTCTTCACTAAAACTTTAGGTAACTTTTTGTATAGAGCCATTTGGCAGCGAACATGAGATCAGTGATCAAGCGTCGGTCCTCAGGGATTTGATTCATTACAGTTTTGATTAGTAATTGAAAATAATTTTATATTCCCTAAATTTCAAACATTTAACTCATATGCCTTTCTTATTTCTTCTTTTTCTATAGTTGTATTGAATGATACTCGATTCACTACTGCTCTCCAACCAGAGTTCAATTCGAATTTCGTGTGTTATTCAATGAATGGTACTCAGTCAACTCCGCCTACATCCAGATTAATGTATTACAATCCCTACAGTTATGATAACTGTCTACAAAGTGAAGATATGAATCCTAATTTCTATCCTACTAATCATAACCAACTACCTGTAATTCCTAACCAGATTAGATCATTTAGCTTGAATGAATTACGTCATTCAAGAATTATTCAACCTATTGGTCAAAATAATAATAATAATAACATGCGACCAAGTGTTCGTTGGGATGCCCATAACCACTCCGGTGTTAAATCTTCATTGACAAGTGGACAGCACACCTATCCTTTAAGAGAAAACTGCCATCCCAATACACAAGCGACTGCTATCAGTCATCTTCCACCCCAGTATGCGAGCAGTTATCATCAGAAGAGTTATGCCGCCTCACGTATTCGTTCACCACAACCACCAATACAACCACAAACACAACCAACCCAATGGATTGATCAAAGAAATATCTTTCATAACAATGGGAAACAAACTCTGACAGCGTTTTCAAGCAATGAACAAGTCAGCGTATCCAGCGTACCATGTCTACCGTGTGATTCACCAGCATCAGTCAAGTGCAGCACGTCAGAAAATGTGTATTCCTCTAATACGCCTAGAAATCATCGAATCTCATCACCTCATTTGATGAATAGTGTTCGTGCTTTTTGTTTTTTTTTAAAATCGATATTTACATTTTACCCGCATGTTTTTTCGCCTCTATGATTTATTTGCTTATCCTCTCAGGTTTGGTTTATTACACTGGCAGTAGGAATTATCCACTATAGACTGTATAAGAGGTAAATCGTACTAACAGTTTTCAATTCGCACAGCTGAGAAAGTGAAGGTTTAGATAGCAGATTTCGTTAATGGGTTAGAAACTAAAGTAAGATTAAATAAGCAGGTTGAATGACGTAATCCAGTTCGTGGCGCTGATTACAGCTCAGATAAAATTAAAACTAAACAAAATTCAGGTTAACAACAGTGGTAATAAGGGTTGGGGAAGAAAATGTTATCCAGTACATCCAGTTGGTTTTCCAGTGGTTCTCTAACTGATGTCAGCTGATGGTGAAATCCTCCATGCAATCAAACAAAAATCCCTACAAAGCCAATACTTGAAAATTCATCTGATGCTCACTAGCCCCTGGCCCTATTCAGGTAGGCAGTTAACCCGGGGTTCTAGTGGAAAGCCATGACCAGTAGGGTACAGCACGTTGAAGGAAGATGAATCAGTAACTCTTAGAAGAAGACATTGCGAAATGGTCGTGTTATGCTATGTCGTGAATTGGCAGAGGTTAGAATTCATGGGCTGGCGACCATTGGACCAGGTTCTAGTGGCCCAATGGTCTACGAGCTAGCTGGTCTTGTAACCAGAAAGTCATGGGTTAGAACCCCGATGGGGGGTGCGTACTGATGAAGAGTCCCAAACTAGGACGGGGTAAACAGCTGTCCGGTACTCTTAGCTTGTTTTCCAGTGGGTTCTCTAACTGATGTCAGCTCATGATGAAATTCTTCATGCAAGAAACAAACAAGCAAGAAAATTACGAAACAAGAAATTATGTATTTGATGTTAAGATAGGTCAGGTCAACTGTAGATTTTGTATCCAGAGTTCAAGTTTCAATATGTGTATTGCCATTGCTTCTACGGTTTGAAGAAGTTGGATTCATACGCTTCTGATGAGATTCCCACATATCCCCTGTACATAACTTTGAAGTTATTTTATGGGATTGCTTGGTGCTCCGAATAGATTGGGTGTTCCAGAATAGATCTTTGGGGAGACCTTTTTCCTCCTTTTTTAAATCCTGATTGTGGGTAAGTAATCGATAATAAGTCTGGATAGCAGACACTGGGCACGGCCGACATATCTACCTCCATACGAGCAGGTGAACTGTTAATGTACATTGGTGAGGCCAACACTGGTAGCTTTTCCTTCGCCTTTATGCGAATCATTGGTTTTGTCGAGAAGGAAAGCCGGAGTTCAGCCGTGAAGAAGGTTTTCTTCAGTGAGTAGAACAGACAACAGTTCCTCAGTATTTCTACTAATCAGTCTCCGTTGAATTGTAAATTCAGGTAGAGAAGGTTTTAGGAAGCAGAGAGTATGGTGTGGGTGCTTTTAGGTGGTTTAGGTGGTTTCATAGATTTTCCGATGAAACCTTCTGGGTAACCATTTTCTAGGAAGATTCTCATCAGAGTGTTCAACTATTCTTCTATAGTAAGAGGGCTGCGAATTCTGTGGCTCAATGAATGAATCAGGTTTCGTTTTGTATATAAGGGCAACCAAATGTGAAAGTTAGTAAATTGTCCGTTCCATGTCGGCTTACAGATACCAAACATTCTCTTTCATAGTCTGCCATTTCGTTAAGTTCACCACTGCTAATAGACTTAATCAATCCGATTAGTTGAGCAGCAATCTCCATATGTTTGGCATGCGATTCGCCCCTACAAAATGTAAGATGCTGCTATAGGACTGGACCACGTCAACTCCTAACTTAGTGATAGGGAGTGAACTGATAGAACATGTTGACCACTTCACCTATTTGGGAAGTTGTATTAGCACCAATGGACTGATTGGCGATGAAATCTCACCACGGATCCGAAAAGCTCGAGCTGCTTTCGCTAGCTTACACCATCTCTGGCGTAGGTGTGACATCCGGTTATCAACCAAGGGACGTGTGTACTGCTCATCAGTTCGCTCCGTCCTTGTCTATGGCTCTGAAACATGGCCAATACGAGTTGAAGACATGAAAAGGTTGACTGCTTTCGATCATAGATGTTTACGATCTCTTTCTCACGTTAGGTGGTTTAATAAGATAAGTAATGTTGACGTTAGGCGTAGAGTGTTGGGCAAACAGGGAAAATCAATCGACGAGGCTATAAAGTTACATAGACTAAGATGGCTAGGTCACGTGCTGCGCATGCCTAAACACCGCCTCCCCCGACGGGCTTTGCTAGCTGATATGGGTGAAGGTTGGAAAACAGCCAGTGGTGGCCAAACAAAAACATGGCCTCATCAATCCATGAAATCCTTGACAGTTAAACTGAGTCAGGTATGGAGATGCAGACTCCCGGGTTGGGGCCCTCGGGACTCTAGGAATCAATGGCTGGAGACAATAGGTGACATGGCTCAAAATCGTTGTCAATGGCCAGCGCAAATGTCTTCAGTCTCTGCAATCTTTCATATTCCTTTCTACCATTACTCATTCTGTTTCACTCTTATACTTGTCAAACTCTATTGAATCTCTTCACTCGTCTCCTTGTCTACCTCTGTGTGCTATTTGGAAGGTGGCAACTCGAACTGATGCACTTCGGTGTCAAGTTCTATGTTGAATCCAGACAGACAGACAGATTAATTGATTAGAACTCAACACTTAAAATTTTGGAAAATTAATCAATTAACGCAGAATATCTCTTTTCGATGATGCTTTTTTCATCACGTTCCTTATTAAATGACCATTGTAATAATTAAAAAATTATTGTTATTCACAACATAAATGTTTTAAACAGCACTGAATCAATAAGCCCTATAGATTACAGTTCAACAGCATTTGTGAGTTGTGATATGCATAGAAATGTATTAATAAAGGAAATATCAGAATAAGTTAAGAATTCCACAGCAGGCTGTGTCGTAGAATTAGTAGCTGGACATGTTTCTTTTGCATACGAAACACTAGTAGCTTTGGGTGAATTGTGATGGCATCTTCTGTTTTGGAGTGTTTGACATTTGAAAACCTTCAGCAATTTTTCGGATATTCCATAGAGGATACACTGAGATTATTCAGATTCATATTCAAATTATAAGGATAGAAGGCTCTTTCTGCCTATGTTAATCCTCACAATACATATCTCTGCAGAAATCCAGTTTCTTTTTGAAAGTTTTCACCGACAGAGCTGTTACTACGGAATCAGGCAAGGAGTTCCAGTCGTTGACCAATCTGTGAGAGAATCTAAACTCCACACGTATTTTATTCGACCTCGGTTTGTGCACCTTCTTGCAGTGCCTTCACAAATGTATCCTAAGGGGAGGGGAGAAAAGGTTTGAAAGGTCGATCCGTAAATCACCCTTGAATATGCGGTAAGCCAAAATTAAGTCGCTTCTCCTCCTTCAATAAGATGATGGGAAGAGATTTAAGTGTTCCATCTTCATATCATAAGGAAGGTGTGAGATACCGCTAACTAATTTCGTTCCTACCCTCCGTACTCTTTTCAGGAAATATGCCTCCTTTTTGAAGCATGGACTGACCGCTTGTATGCAGTATTCTAGATGAGGTCTGACATATGTTGCATAGGGTACTTGGAATATACCCTCGTCTAATCGCTTGAAAGTCCTTCGAAGTGCCCATAGCATTCAGAAAGCCTTAGCTGTGGCTAGATTACAATTTGCCGTTGTTTTTAAGTCATGTCTTACACTAATTCTTAGGTCCTTATGTCCCCTAACAACATCCATTGGTTGTTTTATAACCTGTTTAGACGAGGTTATCTAGTATAGAACTGTCGATGGTTTCAACATGGTTTCGATCATGAAAAATTGAGTTCCTAGAGGAATGAATGTTTAATATAACTGTCTTCATAAGAGCCGGTGAATAAATAGATACAGTAAGAGCTGGCTAGCTTAGATCTTTCGTCTTTCGGTAGAGAAATCACAACCCATTGTCTAGAAAATATAAACTGTATCTTTGCAGCATTAAACGTTCTTTGTAGTGGCTTTCTCAACTTCTTGGCTATTATTTCAAATGATATATACCCTTTGAATTGTAGTCGTATATATAGAGTGGCTTCTTGTTATGAGACAAGGGAGATTTCTTCTCTGCTTTCTTGGCCATGTGTTTAGTCACAAACTTTTCATTTAAACTGTTGTATACAACATTAAGTACGTCTTCAATCTCATCTTCTAAACAAATAGCTCTGAACAAAACAGCTGTGTGTTTCTGTCAGATTTCTTTTTTATACCGAAGAGGAACAAAGCTGTAAAAATATATGCTTGGAAAAGTGCTTGGACAGGTTAATACACTCCATAAAGCTAGAATTTAAGAATCTTTTTCTATCATCCATCTAGTGACAAATAAATTACCAAAGGTCTTCAAACACAGAACACTTCAAATGGTAGTGGCAATTCGCTGAAAGCATCTAGAACTCAGTGTACAAACGAGACAGGTCCAGCTGCTATTACAACACTAGACCGCTGTCTAACCTACAAATTCATAAATTCTCGGCTGATTCCCTTAAATCACTAAACATTTTTACGCATATTACAAGTCAATGTTGCTCTCGACCTGTAATCTGCTGGTTGTTGGGTGTTTAGCTGACTTTGATTTGATTTGATAAGGTGTGTGGTGGAAAATCTTTTTAGATTTTTCACAGCTATCCAATTAGTAGTTTCATTAGGCATTTTTACTCTATAATTCTCTAGGGATTATTGAAATACCATCCCTACAGTGAAAATTGAATAAGTAAACTGAAGAAAATCGTTAGCTGTATAGCCGTAAATTAGCATTGACAGTTTTCAGCTTTTTTCGGGGTTGAACTAGAGCCTATAGAGAAAAAATTTTCCATTCACTCGAAACTTGCATTCATTCACTCATTGATTGTATACCAGTCTGGGAGTGTTTTCAAGATTACCTTTGCGGGGGATATGATTTCTTCGAGGTTCGATCACGGATTAATATTAGTTAGAGGACCATTGAAAGCCGACAGGAAGTATTCGAAGACTGTTTCACTCTAGTTTGGGCCCTTGTAAAAGTACTTACCGACTGAGATCCTCAGCCAGGAGCTTCCGGTTACAGAGGGAGCTTGTAGACTATTCAGCCACTGGAATCCAACCCAATGGCTTATGAAGTCTCACAGTTACCAGTTCGTGACTAGCCAGTGTCTCCCGAGAGTGTCTGTCCTCACCTTCCATCTGATGGACACCAGTGGTCACGACTTGTCACTAGAACTCCAGTCAACTTCCTCCTGTGGCCAGACACTAGCGAGCATCAGGTTAGTTTTCAGTAAGTGGTTTGTAAGGATTTCATTTATTTTTTTTTAAAGTTTGCGTTGTAACCGGAATATGCTTGATTCAAACCCTATTCACTGTGCAATGCTGAAGAGTCCCTTCGAAATAGGACGAAACAGCTTTGCAGTTCTCACTGTTGCTTTTCAATGGTTTTCTAACTGATTTAAATTCATGGTTGAAATTTAAACAAATCTGAGAGGTGACTGTAAGCGATGGCTGCATCGGTGGCACAGTGGTTAGGAATCTCGCCGACCATGCACATGGTCCGGGGTTCGAGCCCACACCGACACACACCTGATATCTATGGTCGGCCTGCAAAATTTGGGCTGCCGATATCCACGCTGGAAATTCCATACTTGTACCGAAAATACAGTGTGGAATCAAGCTGTAAATCAAAAAAATAAATAAATAAAATAACAATAAATTCCCGTGGATAAATGGTTAAAAGCCTGGTTTCGTAACCTGAAGGTTCTACGATCGATTCCCGGTGGACCATAGATGTGTGCTGATAAAAACAGCCTCTGGCTGCAGACAAAAACGCTGTCAAGTACTCAGTGGTCTGTTCATCAGTGGTAGAATAGTCGACAACTACAAGCGCCGCCTAAGTTCAATTACCCGGCTGACACACTCCTAAATATCGCCTAGTTTATCAGCGGGTAATTTGCTCAGGATATGGCGTGAAGTTAATAATTCCACCCTGTAAAAATTCACATCATTTCCATTGAAACTTAAAGATCGTGAACAGGTTATTAAATTCAAACATTTTTTTCCGTAGTTTCTCTGTTAAAAATCTATTTCATAGTTGGTTTGTTTTCTTTCTTTTTAATATTTAGGTTACTCATGCACAACAGTTCAATGAAATTCCACAGGATCTTGGATGTTTTTTACAGGGTGAGTGATTTTATCTGGAATAATTTCTCAAATATTTATTTTTTTTCCTTTGTCAGTTCATCACTTGGTTTTTCATGTTTCATGAATTTTTTTTTACATTGTAACTGTCTGGAATTTCCAGTTACCGTGTTATTCAATGATTATAAACAAAGATTGACAGAAGATTTCAGAGATAACATTGAAAGACGAAAAAATAATTTCACTTGGTCTGCCTTCAAACAAAAGGAAAGCCATAGAACTAACTAATCGATATTTTTCTTTTTGACAGAAGTTAAGACTTTATTCAGATTTCAATTTTCTTTAAAATGAGATTGTTGCACAGTGTGTAGATTTTCTTCACTGCTTCATCGTTGTTTAGTGTTATTATTACTATCACCTCTTTGGCTTCTTCGTTGAAATGTCACTTGTCAGAGTTCCTTGTTGTTTCTTGTCATCTGATGTTTGGTGTGAAGCGAAGACAGTTGTTTAGAAAAATCCGAAGACTGTTCAAAATACGTTTAGTGACGCGATAAGTCTCTTCAGCACATAGAAGAAGTGACTAACGACTCGCTCCTGTCAAATGTAAGATGATGCTACAGGAGTGGACTACATGGACTTCTAGCTTAACAATAGGAAGTGAAGTAGTTGATACAGCCTGTTGACTAATTCACTTATTTAGCAAGTTGCATCAACAAACGCCAGTGGGTTGATTCCTGACGAAATCTCATCATGGATGCAGAAGGCTCGTGTTGGGCATTTGCCAACTCACGCTATCTCTGGCCTAGAAGGAGTGATATCTGGCTGTCTATCGGCCAAAAGACGTGTGTACTGCTCGGCAGTTCACTGTGTCCTCCTTTGTGGTTGGCTGTCAGACATGACCATCGAAAGTGGAAGACAGGAAAAACCTGGAGACCTGTCTTTGACCCCAAGTGTCTGCGTCCTATTTCTAATGTCAGGTGGTATAATAGAGTGAGTAATATTGAGTTTAGACGCTGGTCGAGTGCTAGGTAAGTAGGGGAAAACGAATCGACGAGGTTGTGAAGTTAGATCGATTGAGATTGTTAGGACATGTATTACACATGCATCCCTACCCACCATCGCCTTCCCCGACAGTCACTATTAGCCACTGACATAGGATCAGGTTAGTGCTCAGACCAAAACATGGCTTCATTAGTCAATCAAATCCTCAACAGTTAGTTTAAGTCAGAGAGCTACCCATGTAGGGAAGTGAAGACTGGCTAGTTGGAGTCTTCGGTACGATAAAATCCAATGAAGGCTAGAGACAATTTATAATATGGCCCATAACCGTTGTCAATGGCTGGTGAAGATGCATTCAATCTTTGTGATTTGTCAAATCTATTAAAACTCTACTGTTCTTCCGTATTGGTATCCTTTTACCCTCACTCACGTTGCTGTTTATTATCCCTCTTTTGAATGTCTCTTTACTCCCTTTTTCTTGCTTTGTGTAATACATGGAGGGAAAGTGGCAACTCGAACAGCTGCACATCTGTGCAAGATTCTACGATGAAGCCAGTCAGTTAGTCACTTGCCAAACATCAACTTATGTATTTAACATAACGACGAAACAAAGCATACAAAGATATAGTTGAACACAAGAATGAGGACTTCCTTAGATGTGTTCACAGATAAGTTGTTTTTGGTGTGACCTATTACCTGTGAAGCTTACATTCTTGAAGATGAATTCGACTTAGAAAGAAACAAACACATAGAGTAAACAGTCTTCCTCTCTCTCTCTGCCACACTGACGCATACATCACCTTCATTGAGTGTTTTCGAGAGGGACATAGGGCCTCAGGCTTGAGATGTGAAGTTGCAGTAGCAGTAATATCATTATTTTTTTGTCTACAGGGTGGTATTACTAGCCTCACATCCGATCTTACCTCTTTATTGATCTTTTTATTGATTATGTGACGTTTTTAGAAGTGAATCTGCCAGGATATAAATCCCAGATTACTTGAGGCATAGATACTATTGAAACACTGAACACTATGGAATGTATTCAATATATTCCTTTTTTCAATTATTTTGGCATCACATTTGTTATACCTACTATGAATGTAGTACTGATTTACAGGTTATTCCAGTAACAATCAGTCTTTTCCGTTGATTTCTTTCATATCAGACTTCACAAATAGGTAATAAAGATATCATTCAAGCTTGACTGTAGATTGATATCAGTTAGAGAACCATTGAAAACCCACTAAGAGAACTTGACGGCTTTTTCATCCTAGTTCGGAACCCATCGGCAGTACGCACCCGGCGGGTTTCAAACCCATGACTTTCTGGTTACACGACAATCTGGTAGACCATTCACCCAGCCACTAGGACTCAACTCATTGGCCAGCCCATGAATTCTAACTTCTACCAATTTGTGATTTTATCGCCACCACTAGCCAGTGTCGTCGGCGGAAAGGGTTTGTCTGCACTCCTGACAGGATGGAACCCACTGGTCATGACTTCTCACAAGAGCTACAGGAAACCTCTTCCTGTAGACAGTTAATAGTGAGCATCAGATTGTTAAAAGTTGGAATTAAAGGGTCACTGAGTCGGATCCCAGAGGCTGAATGGTCCACCAGCTTACCTAATAATAAATAGGAAGGTCCTGAGTTCGAGCCCAGGCATTGAGTGCGTACTACCAATGGATTCCAAACTAAGATGAAACAGCCACCAAGCTCTCCCTTCGTCTTATTAAAAGGTAGCCACCACGAGACAGAGATATCCTACTGAGCAGTGATTTAAGGACATGGCTAGTATTTGGAAATGAAGCTGCCAAATCGGGGATTTTCAAGAGTTTGTTAGTAAGGGTTTACTTTGTTTCAATTTTGATCATAGATCGATATCAGTTGAAGAACCACTGAAAACCAGAAGGATGTGGAACACAAAAGAGCTGTTTTGCCCTAATTTGGGAGTCATCGGCAGTACACGCCTGATGCCAGTGTTTGAACCCAGGACCTGTTACAAGACAAGCTTGTAGACCATTCATCCAGCCTTTAAGACCCAGCTCAGTGGCCAGTCCATAAATTCTAACTTCTGCCAATTCGTGATTTTGTCGCCACGACTAGCCAGTGTCATTGGTGCCTAGGTTTTGTCTGCATTCCTGGCAGGATGGCCCCCAGTGGTCACGAATTCTCACTAGAACTCCGAGAAATCCCGTCCCGTAACCAGTCACTAAAGAGCATCATATTAATTTTCAATAGTTCTCCGACAATTGAAACCAACGTGATTAATAGAATTAAAGTTCATGCATATGGGAATAGCGAATAATAATTCAGGTGATCCTAATAATAACAATAATAATAACAAGGATAAATTCATTCAAGTGCCTATATAAACTCAGTAATTAGTCATTATAAATGTGTAAGAAGAATGCGTATACTTGTAGGGGGAAAGAGGAACAAATAAATATTATCCCATAGCGATTAAACAAAAACTCAATAACAAAATGGCTTAACCACATTTTGCGTTTATATATCGAACAAAGAATGATGGTTTTTTGTATTTGATGCAAGATGGCAGTATTATGCAAATGTATTTTGCGGAAAAAGCAATTAGTTTACCAATACACGCATGTCAGATAGTTTCCTTCTCTTGTATACAGAAGAAATCTTATCAGCACCCTGATGTTTCGAGCTAAAAAAAATCTCTTCCACGGAAACACTCTAAAAGGTGGAATAACGAAATTAGAAAAGTCATCTTATGAGAGCGGGTATCAAGAAAACATTTTTGACGTCCACATGATGATAAAAAATAGAGAGATGCTTGCAGACGGTGCAATAGAAACGTATGTTCATGACTCTACCATCCAGAGTAGACATAGCCACTGAATTTCCAGCATCAAAACTTAGAAAAATGATAGCTAAAACGTTCTTTTTTTTTACTACTCTAACCACGGATTGATATCAGTTAAAGAAGCATTCAAAAACCAGCCATTGGGACCCGATTTAAGGGCCAGCCCATGAATTCTAACTCCTACCAATTCGTGATTTAGCCCAACTGGCACCAACAAATGTCAAGTGTGACGATGGATTTCCCATTGATCACATCGGTGGCTGAATGGCCATCACCGCGCTTGCCTTGTAACCGGTAGGTTGTGGGTTTGAATCCTGGCGGTGGGTGCGTACTGCCGATTATTCCTAAACTAGTTGGATGAAACGGCTGTTCAGTACTCCGTGGTTTACAATAAATGCTATATCTGGTATCAATCTGTGATCAAACTCGTAAACACAAATCTCTTCCTTACAGACCAACTCTTGAAAACATTCTTTGCCACAACACTGGGTTTAAAATTCACCCCTAGTTGTTGAATTCCAATGCAGGTGAAGCATAAGCTACTAAGTCTGGTTACTTCAATATGTGTTCATAAATTTAACTGTTCTTGTGGAGACTGTTATGTAGGCAAGAATGACCACTATCGCCTTCTTCACTAGTAAAAGAAACGGCGTTCAGCGAAGAGTTACTCCTCTTTTTGGCGATATCACTATCAAATTTCACAATCACATGTATATGTTAACTTTTCTCAGCAATAAAATGAGGAATATATTTCCAAAGATGTGACATTAGAATTGCAAATTTTAGACAGCAAATTATGTAATGTGAAGGGCGTTAATTAGGTAAAAACTAAGATAAAATGAAATAAGTAAACTCAGTGATGTAATGAGATCCAAGTTAACAACGGTGGTAATTAAGGGGTAGGAATTTAATAGAGGTTTGAAGGAGAAAATATTATACAAATAAGAAACAGCAAAACAAATGTCACGTATTTGGTGTTAAGGCACATCAGGTACATTGTAGATTTAATGACTGAACAAACTTCTTCTTTTGTATACAGAGTTCAGGATCTAACGCGTGAATTACCCCTGCTTCTTTGGTTTGAGGAGATTTGATTAGTACTCTTTTAGACAAGATTCACGCATTTTCTGCAGATAAATTTGAAGTTCCTTTGTAGGTGACCTTGCCGTCCAAATTTGATCAGGTGTTCTAGGAGAAAGTTGCGGGCGGGGGCAGTTAGTGTTAGATGGTACATTTGGGTTAGCAAACTCGGGATACGGTCGACATACCTGGCTCCACACCAGTTGACGAACCCTCGTCCAATTTTGGTTGAATTGTACACGACCCCATCAATTATATTACGTCACTGAATTTACTTACTTAATTCTTATCTTGGTTTCTTCCCAATTAACGCTTTTCACATTGCGTAATTGGTTGTCTGAGATTTACAATTATAATGTAACATCTCTGGAAATATTTCTTTCGTTGATGAGGAAATTTACTATATAAGTGCGTGATTGTATCGTTTGAGAATGATATCGTCGAAAAGAGGAGTAACTCTTCATTCTGAACACCTTTTCTTTGCTATTATTGAATTTGGTTAAGTATAGGTATCGCTAAGTCAATCAAGAGTTCCGAATCGGCACACCTTGTGGATGCCGCGCACAAGACTGATAAAAAAAAATTAGACTTTGTAGAATTCTCCAAAAGAAACCACCTAAACTTTCTAGGTTTTTACACCTCTAATTGTGAGACATACATGAAAGAATTTCTATAAAACGAATTCATTATTGGCATGCCTAATGGATGCCAAGTACAGAACTAATAGAAAATCAGCCTTTTGAGAATTTTCCGCAGGGTTCCTCTCATTGCTTTTGTTCTTTTACATTCCTAGTTGAACAAAGGTATTCAGGCTTAGTGGCTTGAATTTTCCATAGCAGTATTTTACAGGATAGAGTTGCTAGCTCCATGCCCAACCTTGCTTCTTTACCGGTCTTATTACTAGCTTAGCGAGGTAAAGGAGTGCCTCGTCGGCTGGGGATCGGACCCCGAAACACCCATTTGGTCGGCGAGCATTTCTACCGCATTACTAAGCACTTTTCACACGGGACTACCTTAATTTTCCAGGTTTGTACACCTCTGATTTTGAAGCATAGCTATGATAGTTGATATAAAACGAAATTTTCAAGCGAATCTCTGTGTTCAGAAAAGGTTTGTTCCCTTCGTGCCCTTCCTATGGCCTTGAAGAACTCAACCTGGAATAGTCATCTCTACCAGTGACATCAAATAATTGCTAACGTTATTATCAATATCATGCTGTGCATAGATGCACATATTATCATCATTTTATCTAATCATAATGTATTAAGAGTCACTTTTCCCTCTACACCTAAATTTATACACATTTTGCTTATGCATTCAAGGTGGTTGACTGATGAGATTATACAGACACTTGAACGAATCGATCCCTGCTATCTCCACATTCGTGAGGAAATTTTAACCGAAAAAATTCCATATTAGTTTGTTTATTAGATATAACAGACAGTGAAACAGTAATATTTACTGGATGAAAAGGTTTCGAACAAAATTTATTGTGATTCATAATCATATCAGTTGTAATCACACGACTTTGATGATGAAACCCTCCATGCAATCAGACACAAAAATCCATACATAACCAATAGTTGAAAATAAATAATGATAGTAGCGATAGTGATAATAATAATAATATTGAAGTGTTGGTTTTGTAGGGATTTGGTTTATCGTGAATTGGCAGAAGTTAGAATTCAAGAACCATTGGATCGGGTCCCAGTGGCTCAATCGTCTACGGGCTCGCCTTGTAACCAGAAGGTCCTGGGTTCGAACCCCGGTGGGCGCTTACTGATGAGGAGTCCCAAACTAGGACGAAACAGCTGTCCAGTACTCCCAGGTTTTCCAGTGATTCTCTAACTGACGTCAGCTCATGATTAAATCCTCCATACAATAAAAATAATGACAATAATAATAATAGTGATGATAATAATAGTAATATTAATAACAATACTAATGACGACACCAACAATAAGGAATCTAATAGAAAACATTTGTAACTCAGGTGGATGATTTACAATTAACAGTGCTCTCTGAGCTGGTTGGTTTAGTTGCTGAGCTTTCGTCGTCCCCCTTTTGGACGACATCAAAGACCAAAAAGAAATTCATCCTACCATACATCAGAAATATCTCTGAAATAACGGCTAGAATAATGGAACCATTTCATATAGATGTAGCACACAAACCAGTCGAATCGCTTAATTCGATCGTATGCAAACCAAAAGCTCCAACAGAAAAAGGAGATAAGATTAACACCATTTACAAAACAAATTGCATGTATGAACTGTAACAAGCATTACACTGGCCAAGGTGGGCATTCCCTTCGAATAAGAGTCCAGGAACACAAATCAGCCGTGAAAAGACATGATATAAATTCTTTAGTATCAATGCATACAGACAATTATGGACATCAATTTGATTGGGATAATGTCAAAATCTTATACAGAGGAAACACGAAATGTGCCAGGGAATTCCTAGAAGCCTGGTACTCAAACGAAAATACAATTAATAAACACGTCAATATAGATGAAATATGTCAACTAATAAAAAGTAAATCAGATGACCAGAAAGTTTAAAATCCCAATCAATAGAAAACGGTCAATACATATCTAAAGATGGTTACCGGAAGACACAATTATATCACTCATGAAGAAATTTAAATCATTTCACTTTATGCTAAATACTGCGCTGAAGATGTCGTCCAGAAAGACAACGAAAGCTCCGCAACTAAACCAACCAGCCTTAGAGAACACTATTAATTGCAAATAAGGAATCTAAATCATCAGTAGTAATTCCATACAAGGAAAGAACCTCGTAAACCTTACCCTGGAGAATTCTTAACAAGGCAGGAATAAAAGTGGCATCCAAACCCACACGCTCAATTAGAAACAAGATTTGTCGGTTAAAGGATCCTGACAGTGGGGCCTTTAAAACAAAACAATTCAGTTTGTCTAATATCGTGCTGTAATGATTGTCAGGTCAAATGCATAGGTCAAACTAGTAGACCAGGGACAGTCAGACTAGCTAAACATAAAAGCCTATCAAAATCTAGATTAGTTTACCCAAATAAAATAAAAAATCTAGAGAATAGTTCAGCTGATTATAGCACCCACTACATGCAATTACACATACAACCATACAATAGGATGGGATAGGATTACAGTTTTAAAATCTAATGTCACAGGGCGGAGGGAGAGATTGATAACAGAAGCTTTATTGAATTGAATTTTTGATTTTCCCGTCGATTGATTGGATCGAAGTGCTCGGTCTCAGGTTGACATGTCGGCTTCTTGTGCAGATGCTTCGACGATGTCTGGGCATTTAGTTAGTATACAATTGGTGGATGGTGGCTAGCAGTGGAATCCACTTCGGTCCAATCAATCGACGGGAAAATCAAAATTCAATTCAATAATTAATATGACCCGTTGCACAAGAGGTGGCTCTCGTGGCCCAAGTGGTCTAGTGGATAACGCTTTGGCGTTTGAAACTATGGGTACTGGGTTCGAGCCTCAGTGGGAACATCATCACTCACTGAGAAATGCAGGTACATCCAGCTGACGAGTCCCAAATAGGACGAAATGCGCATCCTGGATTCCACTGCTAGCCACCATCCACCAATTGTACACTAACAGAAGCTTTGTTTATCGAATCAACTGCAAACACGTGTAATAGGAATGATTCATCACCTGTCCACCGAGATATCTGGAAAATTCTACTAGCCCGATGATGACAAATAGGAGAGGACAAAAACACTATAAAACTCAAGTTTTGAAGTCGTGTGATTATAATTGGTGATATGATTATCAACCACAATAAATTTTGTTCGAAAACGGTTTCATCCAGTAAATAATACTATTTCACTGACTGTGATACATCTAATAAACAAACTAATATAAAATTACTTACTACCACAGTGCCCAAGTTTTACATATATTTTAACAGAAGAAACTTATCTGAGATATCCGAAAATCCTCTTATTTGAATATCTGTCACCAGTTCATCGTTGGCTATTGGATGGATGTCCAAAATCTACAGTAAGAAGTCCATCATGCCATGGTGATGTGGATACTCATTGAAGGTACTATTGAGGGTTGAGCTATTTTACGTGTTGGCAAGATTCAAATTCAGGGGTCAATGAATTCCCCCCCCCCAAAGTGGCTGAATGATCAACAGGCTTGGTCTTGTAACCTGAAGGAAGGTCCGAGGTTTCATCTCAAACTATAAAGAAGTAGGTAAGCATTGCTGAAGAGTCTCGAAATGGGAAGAAAGAGTTGCCCAGTACTCCCAGTTGGTTTTCAATCACCTCTCTAATTGACGTCAGCTCGTGACGGAAATCTAGAAGTCGGTTTTAAATGTCTATGGTTTATAATTTTATCATGTGACTGTAAGGTTTAATGAAACATTGCCCCCCCCCCTTTGTCAACAAATACACACACACACACCGAAAAGAATGCGTATTTGCTTAAATTATGTTCTGTTATGTCAGTGAGGCTTTCAAAGTCATTTACCGCATACCAACAAATTTTAACTTCGCCTTAAGAGTTCGTCTAATACATATTGCTGAGGCTGGCTGTTGAGATCCACATTAAAAGGTCTAACTTATGTGTCCAAAAGAAGCTTGTTAAGACATTGTCCTTACCTCGTTTGTCATCTAGGTTCGAATGATCATCAAATTTTGTGGACATTTCTTTAACTTTAGTTGATATTCTATTTGATATTGTGTGTTTATTATTATAATAATAATTTAAGCATCTTTAATGAACTGTGATAATTCCATTGTGATCTTACTTAACAAATCGATATTATTTAAAAAAAAAACACCAATATTGTTAATGACGATTACTCTAGAATATTCTACGTATATAAACATTTACATATATATATATATAATTGAACAGCCAACAAAGGAAATTATCGAAAAGGGGATATTCTTTGCTCAATTTATTTTGTCCTATCTTTCAGATGATAAGCTTACCATCCCTGCCAAATCTGCCAGTGGTAATCATCATCGATTGAAACGTATATTCACGGATCGACAGTAAGTCAAGCTTCCTGTGTGTTTGAATGCTTGTGGTGTCTGAGTGTCAATAAAAAAACAGGCGAACCTCTCAATTTTACCTGTTTATTTTCGTATTGAGAATATCTCATTTGAATTATGGGGCGGCGGGTGGGGGAGGGAGGGATTGGTATCTGTTATACAGCTAACTGTCTTATGTGTTGAAATTGAATTGCTTTCTCTCTCTCTCTCTCTCTCTCTCTCTCTGCTATTATCACTATTCAGGTATGAAAAAGGTTGGCGAAGTATTGCCTTACTTCCTAGTCCAAGTCTTACAGATGTGTAAGTAGCACACTTAGTACACGTGCACACACAGAGACGCACACAGACACACAGATACACACATGTATATATAAGCACTCACGCTGACGTATAACTATCTACATAACTTTTATTTCTTTGACTGTTTATTGTATATATATAAATCAACCGAATCTACTACATTATTTGTTTTTGATCTTCGCAAAACGTTTGGTTTCTGTTGACTACATGCTTGTTTCTACTTAGTAGGGACGCTTCAACGACGTCTGAGAGTTAACTCGAAGTAATTTGATAGATAGTGACTAGCAGTGACTAGAATCCAAGGCGTGAGCATTTTCTCCTCTATTTGGGACTTATATCTGTATTCCTCAGTGAGTGATATTATCCCCATTGAGACTAAAATGTTATAGCGTTAAAAATATATATATATCACTCACACTACAACAGTCACCTCTTTTTTGTAATTGGCGTCATTTACTATCTGTTTTCCATTTGACTGACTGGACCGTCTTAATGGGGATATCATCTAGCACTGCGGAATGTAGTCACACCCAGCAGATGATGAGTCCAAAATAGGACGAAATAAGCATGCTCTTGGTTCTATTGCTAGTCATCATCTAGTAAATTACTTCAAATCTCATTAATGAATGGTGTTCATTATTGTTGTATTTTTTCTCACCTATAAGTCTGTCTATTTAATTTTCACATATATTGCCATAATCTTGTATATATCTGCACCAAATGCACTGGTAGAAGTTTTAGTTAGGATCTTGATCGGTGTTGATTTCATCATCATCATCATTATTATTATTCTCATTTTTTGGTTATCCTGAATGTAATCATAAGGCTATGCAGTTCAGTTTTAGTTTTACACAATGGCTTTAGGACAACACATTTAAGCGAACAATATTGGGGTTTCAATTAGATCTCATCAGGCTTAACTCTAATATACCTATATAAGTTTACAAATAAAAATTCAAATATAAACCAATCATGGTGTTTTGTCTATAGGATAATACGATGGTGAATATAAATTGTGCAGTTAGTCATAATAGTGGTAATGATAATATTAATAATAGTAATAATAATAATAATAATAACGGTCTTATCAATAATAAGGATGAAAAAATTGAGGCAATCTGTGATAACACGAGTAATGAAAAACAGTATGATTAAACAAACAATTGTTCAGGTGGAAGTAGTCGATAAAGGCCCATAAAAACAAATGAACCGATTACGTAATGTTAGATTGTAGGGGAAGGAAATGAAACACGTTTATAATGAATATAAGATAAGATTAAGGGATGATAAGAAAGTGGTTGGAAATATAAATAAAGGGTGGGGTAGAAGTCTTTCGTTGGTTACGTCTTATTAGGCCACAGGAGGGATAATGGCTGCATGAACTTCTTTTGAATGGGCATAGTTTAGGTTTATTAGTTCGAATGCCTATCGCCTGTCTCAGCTATGTGCAGTAGACGGATACGAAGTCTATTAGAAAGATTCGGAGGGATACGATGAATTACTTTGAAGGCCTTTGTTTTATCGACTACATGACCACTATCAATTAGATGTGACAGAATTGAGCTACGGATTGTTTTTGTCTGTCCTTTGCCAAACCACCACGATGGGAGATGTTCACTAACACGTTGGCTAAGCAGTCTAGTAGTACGCCCAACATAACTGTCACCGCAGGTGCAGTTGAATTGATAAATACACATAGGTGTGGCAAAACTATCAAGCTTATCCTTCGTTTGCGTCCCAATCATTCGTCGGTTAGAGAATGACAAACATAGGTGTGCTGCATAAAATGTTCTACGTATGCTCCTTGAGAGTCTTTGGAATAGAATCTCACTAGATAAGTCCCCATTAAATTGTAACTTAATAAATAGAGGTTTCTTATGTGCAGTCAGAGTCACAGGTTTCTTCTCTGATGGTTTCATATGTTTCTTTATGAAACTACTCGGATAACCCATCTCCACCAAGGAATCGTGAATATATTCAAATTCCTTTTGTAAGAGGTCCTCCATACATGGCTTTATTCATTCTCAAGAGGTACTATCTGTACATAATGTCATTTTTAAGTATTTCAAGGACCTAGTTCCCATGATTAGTTTGAACAAAGAGAGAATGAGGTCGTCCGATGCGGTGGATTTTTTATGCGCAGTTCAGGTGTGAAGAAGGCTTTCTTAAATGAACAGGAAAGTCTAGTTTTCAGTGTTTCCCTAGATTTATCTCCATTGAATTGAAAGTTCAATTTGAGAAGTTTTTTCGGTACGCTAAGCGTGAGCTAAATTTTATTAATTATTTTTTTTTGTCATATTGAGCCAGTAGGGTTCTGTAAAGCTTCTCCTTCAGTGAATTTATAGGCTTCACTGTGACCCTACTTCCTCCTTCACTAGGGATCATAAGTGGGATTTCATATGTTCCTACTCTTCTATTTTGAAACTGGAAATGCCTTAAATTATTATTCTTATTCCCTTGGGTTCCAGGTGGAATATACGGCTTCAACAACACACCTCTAGTTTTTTTCTATTTTTTGCTGTTCTCTTCAGCTAAATTCACGATTGCACATAATCTTCCACCTTCTCCTACTCTCCACACGATCTCCTTCAAGTCACTCTCTCACCAACGACACACTCGTCGTTTGCCATTCAGATTCCATTAAAGTAATGACCTGCATTGTGAACGATGTCATTCGACAACCTCCTCAACGTGTGCCCCAATCTATCTCCATTTTCTTCTGTATATTTGCTGAGAAATCGGCTCTTGGTTGGTTGGTTTGTTCCACTGCAGAGTTCCTTTCTGGCCTGCCTTGTTGATCTTCAGCAATGAACCAGCAAAGGTGGCTGTTGATAGAAGTCTGCAGTGGTTGTTGGTTGGAAATGCTTTTTGTGACGCGAGCGCAGTGCAAGTTTCTGACCGACTGACTTCAAATTTGTGTTGAAAATCTGAATCGTGTATTTTATGTTGGCTGTGTGTGTGTGTGTGGAAGATTTACAAACAGGTGTCAGGTTGATGAAGGTTTATCTTGCCTCTCTGATTCTGGCTGGCTGACTTTGACATCTTCATCCATTCCACCTGTGAAATGCATCAAGTTCCTGTTTAATTATGTTATGGTCGATAGTGTCAATGCTACTTTTTTCCTCTTATTGTAACCTTTTACGCTTCTTCCATTTGCGGTAGCTTAATTAACCATCTGAAATTTATTATTATTATTATTATTATTGTATCCTTTAGTTCCTAGAGGAACATAGGGCTTCAGCTGCGCACCTCCATTGCCTTCGGTTTCCTGACAACTTTTTCACCCTGCTCCAGGTCTGTCCACATGCTTTCATCTCCTCCTCGCATGACCTCCTCCAAGTCACCCTGGCACTGACGACCAACTCGCCGCCTCCCTTTCGGGTTCCATTCGAGCAATGGCATGTCTAGTGATGTCACTTGATGGTTTCCTCAGCGTATGGCCAATCCATCTCCATTTCTTCCTGCCTATTTGTTTCACAATCGGTTCCTGATTGGTTCGCTCCCAGAGATCCCTGTTGCTGATCTTTTCTGGCTGGCCATCTGATCATGAGTATTGAGCGGAGACAGTTGTTAATGAAGGTTTGAAGTTTGTTTGAGATGCTCTTTATGACTCGCCAAGTCTCTGATCCGTATAGTAGCACTGACTTCACATTGGAGTTGAAAATCCGGATCTTATTTTTGATGCTGATTGCTGTTGACCTCCACACAGATTTGAGGGTAATGAAAGCTTGTCTTGCTTTACCGATTCTGGCTTTGATATCCTCGTCAGTTCCGCCTGTAGTTGAGACGATGCTTCCCAGGTAGGTGAAGGAGGTTGTTTCTTTCAGGTTCTTCCCACTTATGCTGACTGTTGTCTGTTGTTGTTGTTGTTGCTGTTGATGTTGGCTAGGAATCTTCATTATCTCTGTTTTATCTATGTTCACGTGAAGTCCTATCTTTGATGCTTCTTCTGCCAACTTGTTACTTTTCACTTGCATATCTTCCAGTTTATGGGAAATCAGACCCATATCATCGGCGAAATCCAGATCCTCCAAGTCTTTCGTGTCTGAAATTTAAGGGACCACAAAAATACCAGGTAGTAATGGACAACTATTACGTCCTACCTTGCTGCTCTCCACTAGCACAAGAGCATTTTCCCACCGCTAGGGATTGAACCTGAAACCTTCCGTTTGTGAGGTGAGTTGGCTGACCATTCAGCCACTTGGACAGAACCCAGTGGTCATCTTAAGAGTTTTAACTTCTACCAGCTAGCTTTGTGCAACGCCACAGGGAATATTAGCCTTCACACCTGACTTGGTGGAATTTACTTGTGATTACACCTCACTAGAACTCCAGGAAACATCGTCTTGTAGTCAGTCACTTTTCATCTTGAAACCATGACTAGCAATCTTGAAAGGTTGCATCACTAATAACTAATGGATTCGTACAAGTAGTTAGATACCACTCACATCAACCAATAGTGCTTGTTAATCACACCATTTCGCTCGTTTGCAGTTAAACTCATCAGAGGTACGTACCCAGATGGATTCAGCTTAGAGAGTCAAATCTCCTTAAACCACTCGAAGTGGTAGTAATAATAATATACGGAGACAAATTTGCCATTTGCTCCCAAGTAGCTAACCAGATTTCTGATGAGTTGATGACCACAGCTCTAAACATGCTAAACTGCACTCCAATGTTTGCATCACTTCGCTGATAGAGTAAACAAACACTATTGTGAGTTAATGTGAGTGGTACTCAATTGCTAATGCCAGTCAATCAGTTGTATATAATAAATAAGGCGACATCACTCGAAATTCAACTGTTAGTCATTAAATTAAAAAAAATAATTCAATATTTCAATTTCAATTATATATTCATTCCGGAAGTGGGTAATTTAAAACATGCGGTACTGGCTAATGATAATGATAATAGTTTCATTTTTATTTTTAATTAATATTAATGCTTAATTTTGTTGTCTAATTATAATACAGATAATTAACTTTCACTCAATAAAAACT